GGGGGCTAAAAATACAAATTTCAGGAATTTCTGGAGGAAGCAATATTACTCACACATTTATTTTTTTGGCAGAAATGGAAACTTGGTGGTCTCACCTTCCCATCAAACCCATAGAAGTTAAATTTTGTCAACGCATTATGGATTTGGAGGCGACAATAGTGAAATACGGCAAAATGTCCGAATTTAGGGCGCAAGTCCGAATTTAGGAACAATGACTGTACCCAGCGTAGTGCGCCTTCTTGCGCCCGTACCTGGGTACCTTCGCCCGCACCTCCCGCCACACCCGCTCGATGTTTTGCGTGTGTGCACCGGTATCGGGATCAACAAAATTATGCGAGTGGTTGACTGTAAGGTGGCGGAAACCCTCCTCCCCCAAGTAGTTGTACGCCGCCCAACAGTCACTCATTATTGTTGTCCCGGGAGCGATGTACTCGCGAATCACGGCGAGAAGGGTGGCGGAATCCCTCTGTTCAACAGGTACCGCGAACACCTGCGTCGGGTCACTCCGCAACACACCGCCAAAGACCCACTGCCCTTGGAGGAGCCTGCCCCGGTTGTGCTTACGTTTGCCAATTTTGGCCTCGTCGATTTCTACAACCTCCCCTTCACCGCCAATTTTGCCCACTGTCCGCCTTTCCAACCAGAACAGTAGCACTTCCCGACAAAATGACGACCAGTCGACAACAGTGTGGTCGTCCATGTTCAATTCCCTCATTATGAACACTTGGCGGGGAGGGTCACGACAAAGCCAATATTGGGCAAACATAATAATCCGCCAGAACGGGACATGCACCCCTTCAAAGAATGTGCCTTTGGCGATGGACACGGAGTACTCACACTTCCTCCTTCGCCTGTTGACGTACGAAGTTTTCCGACACCGGAAAAGCTTCCTGTCCCAATCCACAGTGCACACCTTCCCGCAGTGGGGGCACAGGTGCTCCTCCTTGATCAGTTGGTGGTCCACGATGTATCGGCGCTGGCTGTCATCATCCCAATCCGAAGTCGATACAATATCACTGACGCGTTGAAAGCAGTTTTCGCACACCATTTTCACGCACAACGCAACCACTCGCACTAGGTCGAGGTGTCCCGCACAGCGACCCGGGCTGGAATGGTACTCGACCGCCCGCCCACGCCTGTCTCCAAACCATCCCCCCC